CACATACATGCACATACATACACACACATACACACATGCACACACACGTCAGCATACATGCCCCCCGCTAAATAAAAAAAAAAAAATGCTTTTACAGTACGATTCAGTATTATAATAGTTTTTTTTTATTTCAGTTGTCTTAATTTGATGCTGCTGGCCTCTAAAATCAATACACCCCTCTCCCAACCCCCACAACCATTCTCGATATTATGTCAATATTTCCTTCCTCGCACTTATTTATTTATCTGTCTATTTTCTGATTTACTACAAGCTGACTTTTTTTTTCTTTTTGTGATTTCTGGACTGATCAATGGGCGTGAAATGATACTGCATGAAACGCGGTCCAACCGAGTCCATTGCACCACCAGATATATACAGTACAGTATTAAGAAAAACATCCCTCTCCCTCCCCATTAAGCACACAGTAACAGATCGACCAATATAACATGAACAAAGACTCCTGGATGGACAGCTTCTAACTCGATTGATCAACATGACCTGCACTGCAGTAGTTAAATTTTAATTTACAGCAAAACATAAATGTGAACGTGATTACACCAGACTGGGGTCAAAGGTCATTCTGCAGTCCCTGCATCTTTACGTGTGTCTCTCGTGCAGTTTTTTATTTCCTCTTTTTAATTTATCTTCTGACTCACCTGTCATTATGGACAATGCTGTAACCTGCCCTACCAGACTTGATCACAATTAAAGAGGCAGACATGACTCTGAATTACAGATGAAAGAGTTTGCTGAGTGCAAAGCCACTCGCCTGTAAGAACTGCCACCTCTCCGGCCCCCCAACCTTTCCAAAAGAACAATAATTGGTGAGATGAGTTGCTCTGTCTGGCGAAGGCTGCGGACGACGCAAGAGTGAGAATGCCTCCCCTTTAAGAGAAGGCTTTTAAAGGCGAGTGCGGCGGGGGCATGTACGCTGACGGCAGGGGGTGGCGGAGATCGGTGGGAGACCTGGGCAGGGTGGAAAAACAGAATGGGCCGTACGATGCACTTGTAGCACACATCCACGGACACTCTGATGTCAGGTGGCCCTACCCATGCGGTTTAGGGAGACATCTTCATAATAGCTTTTGGAGACTGGCAGATAAACAGCAGCAGCGGGTGATGAGCAGCACTGCTGGAACGTAAACGGCACCAAGTCGAAGGAAAACAGGAAGTTTCCTGCCGTCTGCTGTGGGCGTCTATCAGACGGATGCCACTCCTCTGTCCGCCGTTACCCTGCCAAAGCCAAAGCTGCGCCGGCTAACTAATTATCGTATTTTCTCATTGGATCTGCTGTCAGTCGCTTCACAGAGAAGCTATGATGTCATACACATCATGTGACATGGCCGATAGCCATTGGGCTCCCGGAAACGTGTAACGCATAATGCAAGCGGCCCCTTTTAATCTGCTGTTGACTTACCCTCCTGTGTGCTGGTATGGCCCGTGCCTAAGGAGAATAAACGGCGATTCCCCGGCCACACTGTGCACGCGCGTCTACGTGCCTGTGTGTGTTTTTGTCCACTTGAGTGCGTTCTGTGTTAGCTATGCACATACATGCGGCGGCCTGCTTTATGCGCTGTACAGGAGGTGCAAATTAATTGTTCCCCAGGCGCTGTGTTTGTCATGTACTTTACAGCACTCTACTGCAGTGGTTAATGGGACTTCATTAGCAAAGGGGAAATGCGCAGCATGGTTCCACAGTAGTCATATTTTTTATCTATGTGGCAGACAGGTCAACACATAGGATCATATAATACTACATATAAGGATCATATAATACAACATATAAAGATCATTTATTGCATATAAAAATCATAATTATCACAGATAAGGATAATATAATACCATTTATAAGGATTATATAATACTACATATAAAGATCATATACTGCAGATTAGGATCATATAATATCACACGTAAAGATCATACACTGCAGATAAGGATCATATAATATCACATGTAAAGATCATATACTGCAGATAAGGATCATATAATATCACATGTAAAGATCATGTACTGCAGATAAGGATCATATAAGGATCATATATCATATAATATAACATGTAAAGATCATGTACTGCAGATAAGGATCATATAATATCACATGTAAAGATCATGTACTGTAGATAAGGATCATATAATATCACATGTAAAGATCATGTACTGCAGATAAGTATCATATAATATCACATGTAAAGATCATGTACTGCAGATAAGGATCTTACAATATCAGTATTCCATGTTTTTTATGGATTTTGTGTCACTCTCTTTAAAAATGTTTGCCTCTCTTTGCAAGTAGTTATTTGTACAGACTTCTAAGAGTATTACTATAAAATTAGCAATGCAGTAATAGGTAAAGCACATAAAAATGTTTCTGTCAGGTGTGGATTTGCATTCATGACAGATTTCCAGAACCAAAAGTCAATCTCCATTAAAGCAGAGTTTATCATAAATTATCATGAAAGGGGTTGCAACTGAGTAGATGTTTAATTACAAACTAATTTGAATATTTTTGCATATCAATGAATTTTTCCATGTTTTTTTTTTTTTACATTAGACCCGGTAGCGATAACGATGGGACTTACGTTGCGTGTGATCATGCTGACACACACTGTTTTTGCACAATTGTAAAAAAAAAAAAACCTAGTATTAATAAACAAAATATCTTCCTTTATTCTTTAGTGTTTTTCCACAATATTTTCAGTGCATATATTATTTAATTGTGTAAAATCTTCAATTAATTAAGTGGTAAATAGATGTTTATAATAAATTTTAAAAAACCTTTCACTTGAATGTATATTTAGTGGACCTGTGTTTTTTTTGGAATTTTTGCAGTTGTTTTCCGCATTTTTTTTTCTCTTTTCACCATTTTATCTGCAAGGAATTTTTTTAAAGCACAAGGATCCGCTGCACTTCTCCTTGCCTCAGTTTGTGTGCGGATGTTCTGGGAGCGGTTAAAGTTCACACATTGTCAGAATCCAAAGGGGAGATGTTACACTGCGAAATCTATGCACTTTCAGCTTCCTCATACACTGGTTTACAGAGAGTTCTGCTGTGCTGTATTGAGTACCATGGTGAGATACCCAACAAGCCAGTACACAGCAGCAATGCTATTACAGAATGGTGATCCAACAGCACAGACTAGTGGGTGGACGGGAGTCTGGATAATACATTGTTTCCCCTTTTTCCTCTGTTTTTTTCTCCTCACATTTACATTTATGTGTTATACCCATAGCCCTTGAAAGATTAAACCGCAAAAACTTATAAGAAACCGTCACTTACATTTCATAATTTAAGCGTTAAGTGGACATATAGGCCAATATTAAGAGTGAACACTCACGTGGTTGGACAGGACAGTGTTAATATTGCACAGTATGTGCATAGTAATTATAACCCAATATAAATATAACACAATGCAAGCTTAAGACACTGGAAGCCAGAATTAATAAACTGCGTATGCAGATGAGAAGGAGGGACTATCAAATAGACCCTAGTGATACTATTGATGTAGTATATTGATCCCAAAGTAAATACATTAAGCTCTGATTAAGGCCTTCAATAGGCACTGGACTTCATCAAATAAACAAGCCATGTGGAGCAATGTGAGTACTGAGACAGATTGTCATTAAGTGGGTCATGTGATCACACCCTGGAGAGAGGGCACATGCATTCAAGAAGTAATAAAAAGGGAGGGGGGGACTTGAGTTTTATTAAATCAAAGGAACAATAATCCACTGTAAGAAAAGACTCTGACACAGAGAGCGAGGCAGCCTATTTAATATACACGACAGAGTATTCACTATCGAGTATTGTACAATGCTGGCCGATTACACCTATACATACATACATACATACATAATATAAAAATACCTGTAATAGACATTATCTAAAATTATATTATGTTAATTAATGATATTATAATTATAAATGTAATGTGGGCTAACACTGAATGCTAACGCTAAACTTTGGGATGAGAATGGCGTTCCCTCATACAGCCACTATGAGCCGTACCCACACGGAGCCAGGTGCACGCGTGCATGCGGGGGCCCTTTGCTTATTACCCTCCTCCCACAGTGCCCACCCCTACAGTGTGGGGGAACGGGGTCCAGGAGCCCATCTGTGCCTCAGACACTAGGCGTGCAGGGGGGCGTGGCCAAAGCCTGACAATGTCCAGGCTGCCCAAAGCTCGACTCCGACATAACTAGGCAGGAAGTGGTCATACTGCTACATATTCCAAATACGACCCTTAAGAAGCCTTCCCTGTTCTGTAAAACTTCCTCTCTACTTCACAGTTTGAAATAGCAATCTTTTTTGCTATGTCATACCTTAATTGTATAGTATTGGATTCTGCAGGACCTGGATTGACCAGGGCTGATTATTCTTGTTGTATAGGTTTGACTGCTCGATTTAATTCTTCGCAATTCCCAGTTCACTTTCATTCCTCCCATGCTTCTCTTTTTTGTTTTTTTTTTGGTTGTATTTCTCTTTTTTATGCAGTTTATTTAATTTTATATTCACACACACAAATTGCAAGGCTATTGGTGCAAATTGATTTTGAAAAGGCGTGCTTTGTTCATATAAATATTGTTTAAAAGAGGGATTAAACTGGCATGGCTCCATCTGAAGGCAGTGCTTTGTGTTCGCGGGGAAAGTGGCGACTCTCCCGTCTCGTAGAGTATTGGACCAGTGCACTTAAAACTGCAATTTGTTTCTCTTGCATTCAATAAACAGCTCATTCCTTTCCCAATCAATCACCACGGGCAGGATGATTAAAGCAGGGAAAACACAACCCACTCCCTCCACTCTAAAGACGAAAAAAGGAAAAAGAGAAAAGAAAAAACCGAACACAGCAAAATCACTCAGAGAATTAATCATGCTTTCTAATGGCTTTTATAAAACCGTTTCATGAGACAAAAGATACCAGTTTCATACTGTTGAATCATTTCTTTTTGCTGTTTTATTAATCTATCTGAAATTCTCATCCTGACACACTTAAGTTGCTATCACGGGAAAAATTGTCCGACCTAAAAATTTGACTTGTAGGGGAGGCATTATTATTATTGTAAGTGAGGCCAACATGGACCCAGAATCCTACAGAGGATTCTACAGTTAACAAGCAAGCTCATGCTGGGAAAATTAATGCAAGTAGAGAAATCAACATTTATTTTTCACTATAGACAAAACTCTGCAAATATTAACAAAGTATTCTTGCAGTAAGGGTGAGAGGAGAACAGATTTTGCAAAGAGAAAAACTAGTTTCTTGAAAGGGCATGTTGGTAATGTGGGGGTGCTGATTTTCTTGGGTACTTCAGTTGACTTTAAGCTACTTTTGTAAGAAATCTTAGTAGCAACCAGTGCAATCAGGTTGGGAAAAATCAGCAACAACTAGATTTTGATTTATTTGCCATTATGACATTTTGTCATCGCATTGGTTACCATCAAGGAAGTACAGCCCATCTCAAGTAAACTGGTGCAGAATCTGGACTTCCAGCCTCAGTGCAAAATGCCAAATAAAGAACCAAAACGAGTAACTGACAAGTGGTCAATGTGTAATCACATTTTAAGCAAATTGTATAGAAAGATAGGGAATGCTAATCTCAGATTAGCCTGAAACAACCAACACCATAGTTCCCTTGAGAAAGCAAAAGCTAGTGTCAAAATGAGTTCCCCTCATTGAGAACAGAGTCCGTTTAATGCGCTGATTAATAAGAAATAGTCTTTGAGCTGTTCTTATGGTTCGAAGGAGCAGGGAGGTTCGGTGTTTAACATAAAAAGGAGTCGTACCTGTCAGGACTCTTATTATAAAACCTGTCTCCGGCAAATGCGAAGCCACCCCCAGCAAACGAGGCCTCATCAATCCAGCCCTATCAGCGTTGGCATGGCGATGACTGCCAGCAAGCCGAGGAAACGGAGAAATGTCAAACACCGGGGGGCAGAGGGGTTACTCACAACCCCCTGCTTTTCTAATCTCTCCTCCTCTTCTCCCCCACTGTCTGCCCTACTCAGCTCTAACATGCTTCTCCTTCTGTCACATCCATCTATCAGTTCTACCCATTTTTCCCTCCCTTTTCTTCTCCTCTTTGTCTCATTCTATTTTTTTTTTTCCACAGCCGCCCTTTCTCGCTGTACCCCCTCCCTCCCCTCTCACCCGCACTGGTCCAACCTTTCATTCCCGTAATTAAATCCAGCACCTGAACATCAGTGTTTTTTTCCCCCCTTTAGGCAGCGGTGGGGGCTATGATGCAATAGGGCTGATTTGCATAACCAAAGTTAATTAGAGTGGAGGAGCAGGTGTACAGTAATAATAATAATCAAACGACGGTCGCCGGTGACCGCTTCACCCTGCTCATCAGAGATTTCCTCTGCACAATAACTGTTCTGCATCACTGATGGAATTTGCTTCCCGCCTCGCGTTCATCTAGGAAGCTGTGACATTTCTGATCAGAAGGATTATTCCTCCTGCTACCGCAGGCCTTAAAATCTCCTTCCTTTGGCTCCACTCTGCTCGTTATTTTACCCAGAATTTTTAATCTTATTTTATTTTATTTTGCACTGTATGCAAATAATAGCAGGGGGCTGTATGTGACTGTTTTAATTTTTGTTCTGCTGCCGTCTGCTTCCGAACGGATTCTCTGCCGTTTTTCCCGTCTGCTCTTCTGTTTTCTACGGACGTCCTGATGTCCAATCTGCAAGGGAAAAAAGAGACAAACAAACAAATTAAAAAGAACACGAGCATACAGTTGTCGAGATTTCTTGTTTTAATGAATCAGTGTGATATATATACATATCTAGATACAATTTGCTGTTTTCTTTTATTCAAACAAAATACATAAAATAGGAACATGACATTCAACGAATCATATTACAGCAAATTAAACTTAGGGGATCAAAACCAAACCAATATTGTGTCTTCTCAGCTATTGTAAACTCGACGATGCATTAAAATACCATTATACCTATATTACAGCTGTACTTGGTTCCAATGTATGTATAAAGAACATTTACATACCAATTCAAGTGATTGTGATGGAAGAGCTGATGCTAAGCTTCACTTTAGCCTTTTATCTTGTGACTGCTTTGGCTTGTATGGTTTCCTTACCTTCATTTACCTTCATCATTCATAATGAGAGGCAAAAATGTCCAAGTGCATTTAAATTAGATGATGTCATAGTGCTTATTAGCTACAAAACAGGCTGAAATACAAGATTATGACCAGATTTGCAGAGGAATGCTACATTCAGGTAATGTTTTTCCAAGCTTGATTAGCCAATGAGAACGCATATTCATATTAACTCGTATTACTGTACACTGAACGCCACCGTGACCTTGACCTCTGACTGTCCTCTACCCTGAAGCATTTGTGGTAGATCTAGGTACCGCTCCAGAACTCGGGTCGTAACTTGCATTCAGGTTTTAGTTCATAGCTGTTAAAAGCCCAATATCTATATCGGCAGATGCTCCTATGCAATTGGCTGTCAGATTCAGGTTGACGGAGGTTTTAGGAGATATGCTGACCTTAATGCTTCTTGGGAGTAATTAGCGCACTGACAGAACTCTGCTATCTGGTGTTGTCATCACATTAACACGGACAAAGAATTAATTAGACACGGCAGCTTTCTCTCCCTCTTTGTGTCGTTTTAATGGCTATAGTTATGGCCGGTTGTGCTATAATAATCCAATCAATGCGAGACAGCCCCTGGTATTACCCTGCTGCCATTTGGAAGAACAAAGTACAATTTACCAGCTGTGGTTGGCTGACATGACTCACTTAGTACATTACTGCTCAGCCTTCAATAGGAACTGGGCTTTCAAATTAAGGAGATTAAAAAAAACCTTTCCCTGTGTACTTTATTATATAACCTTCAAACAAATTCTTAGATTAGGCTATTAATGGACAATTATTAGTTTTTAGCGCTGTAAGATATGGACATATGTTGGTATGGATGGGAACCTACCCGCCGCTATGTGTTTCCAGGAATAGGTCCCAGATTTGCCACTAACCCTGCACTGGATGGATGGATGGATGGATGGATGGATAGATGGATGGATGTCTAGGGCATACCCTAACACCTGTCCATTCACAGGACTCCAGATTTTCAGCATTGTTGCATTGGATAAGATATTATTGAAAAGGAATGGAAACACGAACAGATGGATGGATGGATGATGAAACAGTGAGATGTTTATGAAGTGCAATTCAGTAGATATAAGAGAAAGTTCAGTAGATAACAAAATGATTTCATACATCCACCTTCCCTTATCAATTATGTGGTCATGGGGAATTTTTAAAATATATGTTATGAATATCTATCAGTAATTAATTTCTTATTCATATATTGTTCCCTATAGGCAGAGCTTGCAAGTTGACGGCAACTGGGGATAATTGAATAAATCTCAGTTTTCTTCTTATCATAAAAACAAAGATCATTCCTCATAATACATCATCTGAGTCATTTGTTTCACATAAGATATGAGTTTTGTGAACTCTGTTGACAGTAACAAAGTCAGAGGACATTAGCTAAATTAAAACCACAATTGTTTGCTAAGTGACTAATAAACACACAAGGCTTACTTTCCCCACGTGAATTTGCATCCTATTTGCCTTTAGACCAACATGAAAAATACAAATGGGAACTTTAAAAAATAATAATAACAATATATCTCCATCCATGCGCTCAGTATTTATAAGCGGGATCCATATCTTTGGGCCATATACTGTATGCTCAGAATGACGATCTAGGGCCAGTTGAAGTTTCTTGACTGCAGAGAGACTCTTGTCATAAGCTGCGTATTGACTCAGCAAGCTGCGGCCCCCGCCACACAGCCAGCCCAGAAAGAGGAGATATTTACACAGTTGTTGAAGGGGCTCTACCTCATATACATATCCTCCTCCCCGCTCCCCCAGCGCCACCTCCGGAACTCCTGTAACCGCAGCTATTCTGGGAAGGGTGCAGGCATGGCGACGGACTGCTCAGTCCATCAATCGTCTTGGCCCCGAAATGGCAGCACGGGTCGTTCCGGCCACGCAGAGGGCACACCCGTCGCAGGTATTCGCCGCTCTCTCTTCCTCTGTACCTGTGGATTCCCTGAAGTGCGCTCATGGCACCCCAAGTGGCAAGTCGGTGATTTACGGTCCGAACAGACAGATGGGGGGGTGAACCAAAACACAGGAGCAGAGAGACAGCGAGCCGGACTCCATCCCCATCCCTCTTAGTTTATTTCAGGTCCCGTTAATCTACCTGACAAACGGGATATATTCCCGTCGAGGGATCGATCTGCTACAACAGGAAGAAGCCCAGCAACATGTCCTGCGGAAAATTCGAATAATCGCCTTTTTAACGACCACCTGCATGAGACGGAACTGAAGAGTGAGACGGGAAGAGAGAGTCGGGCAATAGCCCGCGAGTTACTGCGCCAACGGCTGCAGCTACGGCGGACCATCGCTAATCCCGGCGGTCCGTCCCATTCGTGGCGGAGCAAAACCTGGCACATAAATTCCTCCTGAAAAGTATTATTGCTGACAGTGGTGACCTCTGCGAATCCGCGGCGTTTACCCATAACTCACAATTAACAAAGACATTAGACGGATCCCTTGAGGACGGGCGGCTTTATTTCTTTCTAACCAGGCTGCAGTAAATCTGGAAGTGGTCCCAATTCTGCCATTTAACATTTGAGAGGCTCCTACTGAGGAAACACAAAGGACGCCGCGTAAAAAACACACATGTGGGCTTTGCGTTAATATAGATCCGCTTGCCTTTATTATTCAATTAATCTTATTGCCAAAAATATCACACTTGCACCTGGCTCCTCTTTGTTTGGCTATAACACCAAACAACCATCATATTCAGCGGGCTACCATCTTTTTTGTGCTTGAATAAACATGCAATTAATTGTTGATATTTTTAAACATAACTTCATATCTGTAACAAATGTGCTCATAAAGGCAACTTCTGTAATGTTTTAGCCATTAAACGAAGACTGCGTTTCTCAGTTCTTCGCCAGCATTTTAAATGGCTTAGCTGTTTTGCACTTGCAATTTGCATTGTGTCTGACACCTTGAAATGCAAACGTATGCTGACACACAGCATGTACCTGTGATATGGGGATCTCCTTGCTGATGAAATGTAGTAGTGCACTCAAAACGGTGATTACAGTATTGTTATATTTACATATATACATATATACTCAGTGGCCAGTTTATTAGGCACAGCCTAGTCCTCCAAACAGCCAATCAGGTGGCCACAAATGAATACATACAGCACACACAGGGTCAGGAGGTTCACTTCCTGATAGGCTAAGCATCTGAGCAGCTAAGGTTCCTGTTCTAAGCAATTTTGAATGTGGTGCCGCTGTTGGTGCTTCCAGCATCTCCGAAACAGCCCCCCCTCCTGGGAATTTCACACACCAGTGTCTAGAGTGTGGCCAGAAACACCCTGCTAATGAGAGAGGTCAGAAGAGAATGGCCAGACTCGTTAAATCTAACAGGAAGTCACAAGTGAAAAAAGAATCACTAAAAATAACAGTGGTGTGTAGAAAGGCTTTTCTGAACATACATCTCATTTACCCTTGAAGCAATTATGAGCTGGGCCTCACCCGGTGCTAGCTAGGCGTACCTAACAAAGTGGCCAGAGTGTAAAAAAGGCCTGCATCACTTTTTAATTTCTATTCATACACAGAGTAAAGCATATATACACGTACGGTGTAATGAAGGGCACTGAAAAAATCTTTTTGTATGGCCTTGACTATACAGGCTCAATTAATAGTATTTCTCATCAGCATGAATAAAAGAGAAGGAGCTTTTTATTTTTCATAGTAAAGAAAAACATGCCAAGGTACACACTACAGGAGTTATGGATGGATGGATGGATGACAGACAGGCAAATAGATAGATAGATAGATAGATAGATAGATAGATAGATAGATAGATAGATAGATAGATAGATAGATAATCACAATGGAGGCCTCTTGATTTCAGCTGCTGTTTAGTTTTACTGGAAACATCCTGTACCTGATGCCTTTGTGGTTTCCAGTGCATCCAGGATCCTTCTGCCCACTGGCCAGAACTCTGCCTGCATTTTCAGTTTCCCGTTGAAGCTTTCCAAACCGCTCAATTAAAAAAGAAAAAAAAAGAAAAAAAAAAATATATATATATATTAGATTAAATATATTTCATAAATCAAGCACAAGGCTAGCAGCCATGTATCTCTCAAGACAAATATTAAGTCTTGAGCAAAACAGAGGCTTCGTATATTTAAAAATAAGCCAAACTCTACTGTAGATCTCTGAGGGGTCTCTCAGAAGGTGCTTTTTATATCTTTATATTTTCTTGCACTTGAACCATACAGGATGTTGTTAAAGGGAATGTTTTGTTCATTGAGGAAAAGACCTCATGGCAGTCATGTTGGGTGGTATCGGAACTGATTTGAAAAAGCCTCCTTCTTGCCATTGGTTTAACGAGGATTGAAAAAAGACGCAGATTTATAATTTGAAATTTTACCAATTTTCAGTAAGACGTGTGCTTTCAGTGAGCACATCCAGCTTACCCATTCATCACTCAGTGAGCGAGGGTGAACCTTACAGCTCTCCTCTTGCAGACTGGGGCGGGGGGGGGGGGGGGGGTGACTTGCTGTCCTTGAACCCCACCAACCGTAACAGAGCTGTCATCCTGCTTTTAAATGAATCTACAGGAATTAACACTGCTCTCTGGGTCGGCCCTGTTGGGGACGCGATGACAGGACGGTCGCCCTCCTCTAAAGATCAGGGAGAAGGGTTGGCAGAGGCCTCCAGAGTGACTCTCTGGGAGCTGGATATGGTCCAGGCAGAAGGGGCCCTGCCAAGTGGGGGGGCAGGGGGCGAGCAGGGAGGCATGCCAGAAAGAAACGACACTGAGAAAAAGCAGCTTTACACTCACCTACAGCTCAGCGCTCCTTTAAATAGGAGATGGCCTGAAGTGTGTCGGGTTTCAAGACTGTATGGGTTGAAACGAGTGGCCGATCCCGCAGAGGGACATATTACCAGGATTACGGTAATCTGGCAATAAGGTGTTTTAATTTAGAAATTCAAGATTCCAGAGTTTATATTCATATGCACAGTTAGCAGTCAGTTACGTTATACGAAAAGTTAGCAGTTAAAATGTTACTTTGCGTGTCCTTCTCGGCGCCGTTAAGCAAATTAAGCACGAAACACAAATACAAATGAAGGTGCTAGTCAACAGAGCAATAACGAGTACTAATTATGACAAAAAAAATACCTGAACATACGTTCATAATTTTTAGCAGTATTTTCTGAGATTTATATTTCCTGCATATTCATATCCACAATAAACTTTGTAAGAAGTTAAACGGAATCCTTCAATGTTTTATCTTATTTGGCTATTTATAAGTTTGACATATAGACTGCAGGTTTCTGTACTATTATGTGTATAATGGATGTTTGCCTTGTCAGACCTTTATTATGCGTGGGAATCACGAGATTACGTAAGGCAGAAAAGGGAGACATCCGCACGTCTGCCTTTTATATGGAAAGGAGGGGCATAACTTAGTTTTAATAAAGTATGCAGGCAGAACACTTTATTACACCAAGTTTGCTCAGAGAGCCAATCAGGCGACATGCGTGTGTCACGTGACTTGCGCCAGGCAGCGTGTGAGGCCCCCTAGGACCCGGTGGCATTCCCTTTACGGGCGCGAGCTTTTTCTCGAGCCTGGAAGTCCCGGCGCCACGCGTCAGCCCCGCTCTTCCCACGAATGTTCAGTGGGGCATGTAGGTCGCCTCCGCCGCGTCCCGCTGGAGGGCTGGCCCACGCTCAAGCGCGCGTTTGGCACTCGGCGGCGCCTCCTTCCTCCTCATTCCGTGGCGTTCTTCACCGGGCTTGACATTCTGCTGATGAAATCACTTCATAACCTCTCCGGTCACGCGACGGCGCCGCTCGTGTCCCCGTGCTGCCAGCCCAGTCAAACTTGTATTTGAGGGAGAAACTGTTTGCGTTTCCCTTTAAATTAAGAACAGGTAGCGGGTAATACGGGACGAAAGAGAGGGATAGAGAAAATGGGCCGGGAAAGGTGAAAACGTGTATTATTTGCAGTCGGATAACCCCATTCAAACACGAACTGCTCCCCATTTCGTGTTTTACGTATGCTTCCAAATAAAATTAATTTATATACATTTGTCTTCCATGACAATGCAAAGGAAGCTGTGAATCTCCAGACCCCTTTATGGCTGGGAAATCCCCGACGCAGGTAAGGTATAACTGTTAACGTGGGTTCAGTCCTGGATGTCGTAAATCCTTAATATTCCATTATGAGTTAATCCCGACCCGGTGTTTGTGTACCGGAGTGGGGAGGCACTTATCAAGAGCATATATTTTTTGAAAATATGCCCCCTCCCCTAAAATCCTGATGTATATGGCTGCATTAGGATGGAGCTCACGGGTCAGCTATACCAAGCCAATATTCACATTAATCACTTTACTTTATCCATTACGTGAAACTTTTTTCTGACCCCAAATATAAAAGAACCCCTCAGAGTCAAATTCTAATTAAAAATGCCCAAGACCCGAGGTCATATGTAATTTGGATAAAGTTGACAGGACAAGGAGAAACTCTTAAGCGCTCGTTAAATGTAAACTAAAACAATAAGCACTTTAATCGGTATTCTAATTACTGCACCGCAGTTGTTTCTTTGTTCTGTTTTTATTACTGTACTTTATTGCCTTTTCCGTACGGTCAGCCTGCTTTCCCATAATCCCCAGCTCCCACGGAACGAGCAGTCATTAGCAGAGAGCCTGCCTGTGCCTCGCCCTTTCTGTGTCACCTCTGGCCGCTGCCGGAGACACGGAGCTAATAGTCACCCGGATCGGCTCCGTCTCGACGGCCGATGGCACGGGGAGAAATATTTGTGCCCGCGAGTCCCCCGTTCTTTGCGGGGAGGGTTGGCGCTTGGCTGCGCCGAGCTGGATTGGAAGCCGTGTCGAACATCCAGTCTGTGATGCTGCTTGTGCAGCTAATTGCCAGGGTAGATGGGGATCTAATAAATTGATGAATAAAACATGCTCTGTTCCCGCAGATGCTTGAAATTAGCAGGGCAAAGTGGTGATTAACCACCGTACCGTGGTCGCCTTCGCTTTTTTCCCCCCCGTGTGAATCTGTGACATTTTCACTTCAAATTCTACTTAGTTCATTTATTTATTTATTAATTTTAAAACTATGGATGGAACAGGGCTAGGTGGTACTGAGCATTAAAAATTGCAATAAAAGTAGTTTCTGGCAATGGAGGTGCGAATGCGCGTGCCTTCCATGTTCAGCCGTGATCCCTAAAACCACATGCACGCGATTCCCAGGCCAATCGAAAGATAAACGCTCCTCCGAAAGGCCCGTGAGCCGCCACGCTGACACGCATATTACATATTGCAACAGGCATGCAGGGATTTAGGAAGCAATACGATCCCACTACTGGGAGAGCTGGGAAGCAGCCAAAGACAGAAAGCAGGAAATATTATCTTTTTGTCATAAAGTGGTCAAATCCCAGATCACAAATTACTTGGTACAAATTGCAGAAACAATAACATCTAAAATGTATCTTTCAGTATGAAGTACTCAAAGCCCATTTGGAAGGTCGGTGAGGTTTTGCCTGCTGTATTTTAGGTAAAGGATCTTGTCATGCGAGAGCAGAAAAGACACTGCTATTTAAATTTGCTGGGGAAAACAGAAGACCTTATCTTAACAATATATATGGTATTTAAATTTATAGTATATTTATAGGAATTAATATTCTGGTAGGATTTCTATACAGTGTATTTTGCAGGTAGGACCACACACAGGGATCTCAGCCTTAAGTTGTAAGATGTTGGGTTCTCAGTGTTGGGGAGAAGCAGGCGGGACATCAACCCAGGCCAGGGTGGCGCGCCATCGTGGGGGCGAGGGAGGCCCTGCTGTCTGTTCCGAAAACGGCCTTTTCCTTGAAGGCCGCACAGCAGCATACAGACAGGAGGGAGATCTCCAGCGAATCCTGACGGGGATGAGGAGGGCGTGCTCCTCAGAGATGCACTGCGCGTGGCACTTCATGAAGGTCAACAGTGACATCTACTGGCAGCAGCTGGTGGTTAGCGGGGGCCATGTGCATGGGGGGGGGGTTCTTGGACCGGACCCAGCTCTGTAGGAACTCCCAGATAATAATCCGTTTCCCTGGGATTGTGAAACTGGCTCATTAAGTGCTCCTTTTTAACAGAAAATATTGGAAGTGATTAGACCGGTGTTGCGGCATGGGCACGAAATGGCTAACCTCACGACCACCCACGGCTGCTAGGTGGCTGGCACGGAGCTCTACACAGAGGGCATTGTCTTCACCGTGAGTGCAGGGTATCCATCACCTGCTTGTTTATCTCATGTATGCTGGCAGATGCATCCATCAATGCTAACCTGATGCGTGGGCCTGTTTTTGTTGTTAATTAACAGGGAGCACCAATGCTCAGTCTTCCTGTTACACAGGCAAAGTCTTTCTAAAGCCTTGGGGTCCCTTCCTCTGTCCAGATTGAGGTGCTCCTGTTTATATCCGCCTCAGCATGGAAAGCTCGATACGGAATGAAGGATTTGGGATTCAGGCTGCAGGATTTTGAACTTTACGGGCATTATTTTGGTATAATGAGCTGCATTTCTTTAACGGATAAATTGGGCTTCTATTTGACAAGAACCTGTTCATTAAGAGCATGGCTCACAAGACACCAGCAGCTGAGCCAAAGAGCCAGGGGGTGAGGTGGCACCGACTCGCGGACGGATGGCCCACCCCGGCAGCCCAGGATTTGCCGGCACAGCTCCTCTCCGCCGTATAAATGATCTTGACCTTTTTGGAGGCACACATTAATTCCAGCTTCGCGAGGGGAAATGAGGGAGGGGGCAAAGTAGGACATGGTTTCCTTCAGGTTGCCGTCTCACCAAAAAGCAGAGGGAAGAGCGGGCTGCCGATATTAATGATGTTTACCACGGCGACGGTGGAAGGCTAAAGGTGGACGCCACTGTTTCTGTGTACTGTGTGCTGGGTCAAGGTTTTACAGTCGTGGGGACCTCACAGACACTGCGGAACATCTGTGTCCCAGTACCTATGCATATTACACAGGAAGGCCAGCTGCTTCATAATAATAATAATAATTCCTCACTGATCTATAAATAGTTTATAATACATATCTTCTCATAATCATCATTATTAATAACACTTATTAACAATAAAAACAACAATAATAATACGAAGAAGAAGATAATCATTATAAACTGTTGAAAGCATAGTGAGATATTCTTGTTGTTGTTGTTATTATTATTATTATTATTATTGTTATTGTTTTCACTCAAACCTCAGAAGTCCAAATTCTTATTATACTTATGTGATTTTGGGCAGTCAGCATGATTCATTATCTTTTTGTTTGTTTGTTTTCCTCCCTTAAGGCACTTTTAATTGAAGTTAAAGAAAATTTAAATCATCATTCAACTTCAGTATTTTGTCGATCCCTTTAAGGATAGAGTAACGTTAATCCGAAGATTCTAAGAAACATATTAACTAGCAGTGTTATGATCCACATGCACGGCTCCTTAACTAGCAGGCACCCTGCTGTCCAGATGAGACT